TGTCGCCAAATGGTAACTGCGAGAAATCCTGCAAGAAAAAACATGTGCAATATTTGTAAGTTAGTGCAGAATTAAATAGTTTGATAAGCTTTCTCTCTGTCAATGTGCCTCTTCATGTCACTTAATGCACATGCTAATTAAAGGAGGCTATACTGATGATTCTCGCTCCTATCCGCATCTAACTGCTGCCTGTGTTTACAGCTATGGGATGAAACCTAGACAGGATTTTTTCACAGGTCTTCTTTTTACAGGCCACTCAAACACGAAAACTGGTTTCTTTTCACATGTCCTTAGCTTCACAATCCTTTTTCGTTCATTCATCTTCCATGATCTCCACCTTTCCTCATTGTAATTCTACGTAAATAACAATTTCCACGGTTTCTGATGAATAGACACAGTAACTCTTAAATTTGATACCGTTTTTCGTATGGAAGAGTTAGGCGTAATAATTTTCTTCACTGATAATATAGAGTCCCTAACTCTACATCATTCTGCATTGACCAGTGATGGCCAAAAACTTTAGGCATAGGCCGACCAGAGGTGGAAAAAAATCGGAGATGAAAAAAATCAAATGAAACCTGTTTCAAGGCGCAAATTTCCACTGCCTTTTCATAGCGACTTTTCACATAAGGGTTTCCAAAAAGAATATTATCACGTATTGTGCCTGGGAAAATCCATGCTTCCTGGGAAGTGTATGCTACGCGACCTCTAGTCCGAAGACTACCCCAGGTTCGCTGTGTTTCACGTAGAATTGAAAGCAGCAGTGATGACTGAAAATAGCAGTTTTAGAAGATCTACTTCAAAAAAGTCTGTGGGAGCATGAAAAAGTGGAAGTAAAACTCACACACGCACAGACACACGCGCACACACACACACATACACACACAAACATACATACACACACACGTATAACAACTACATATATAAAAAAAACATGTATGTTCACGCAAATATAAACACATGTACGTGCAAATATAAACACATACGTGGACAAACACACAAACACATACGCAAACACACGGACGCAAACATGCACATATAAACACACAACACACACACATACAAACACATGCTCACGAAACAAACGCAGACAAACATCATATGGGCAAACATATTAGACAAAGACAAATACAAGCAGAAATAAAAAATACAAATATATAAAAATGAACATGTACACTTATTCAAAAAAATTGCAGTTGTGAAATTCAATAAATTAGTGGCGAACAAAAGAAAAAATACCTTCCCGCTTCCAACAGCTCCGGCAATGACCACTAGCTGACCCCTTCGGACAGATAATGAAATATTTCGAAGGACAGTTGCATCCTCATGCGCTGCATTCTGCAAACACCTAACCTACACTCAGATATAATAACAAAAGCACATATTATTATTTCTACTCAATACTAGTATTACTATACTGTCTAAACATAACTACGTTACTATGCAGAACAATCACAGTAAGATAACAATTCTTCCGTTGACCAGGCTCACATGGAATGCCCAAACAAACATTTTAAGATTTTTTTTGACCAGACACATGACCAGGCTCAAATTCCAAACAAACATTTGGAAGCCCAAACAAAAAATAACATTTTTAAAATATTTTTCTTAAGATTTTTCTAAACATATCTGATCTATTTTGTAGCGAAACAATACAATAGAAGATAAGAGATCAATGTAAGTATCGTGTGGAAGAAGACATGTTTAGATGCAGTTTGCGTCCCGTTATATATACATTGAGCAACTGAATGTAGAGACTAGGCAAGTGTTAAAGAAGAAGCATTTTCGTTATTGTCACCCAATAAAACATTATTTGTTTCGACAACAAA